TTTACTGTTATTTTTAAAATATGGAATCTCTAATTTATGGCTTTATTTCCACTTTGGAGAATGATTTTTGGTCTCTAGATAGTGTTATTTATTCTTTTTATCTTTAGTCAGTAGTTCCTAGTTTTATTGTCCTTTGATTAGTTGCTGGCCTGTAAATTTTTTAATTTTTAAAGTTGAATGAAGTTGTCATTGTGGCATTGAATATAATCAGTTTTGATAAACATTACATGGACATTTGAAGAAAATTATGTTCTCTGTAATATACAAAATGCTGCATATCCATTGTGTTGGTTGATTCTTTAATTTACTTCTCAATGCTTGATTTGTAAAAATGACTGTGTGAGAAAAGTTATTTTCCCAAAACAATTATTTTCCATATTTTCATGTTCTTCTTGAATTTCAAATAGGCTTTGTTTCGTATTTCAATTCTATGTTATTTGTAGTATAAAGTTCATAAAATATATGATCTTACTGTAGATCTATACTTTTTAATCAGTTAAAAAAGTAATTCACTCTGCCCGTGTCATATACTTTGCTTAGATTTCTACAAGTATGCAATTAATGTTGCTACTTTTGCTTTTTGGTTTGTATCATCTGATTTATCTTTCCCTGTTCTTTAATTTTAAACTTTACTTACAAATTTTTAAGATATGAGTCTTATAGCATAGAATTGCTTATATAACATAGAATTGCTTTCTTATAGAAAACAGCAAAGAATTGGATTTTGTTTTTTAGATAAGCTTAATAAGGATCTTGTTTTTTAGACCAAGAACTGAATGATCTCACTGTTATTATGGAAAAAATATATTTGTTCTTATATTATGCTATTTTTTATACTTCTTTTTAGAAAAAATTTCTCTTATCTTTCTTTATCTTATCTTATACATGCCCTGGGAAGTGAAAGTATTTAAATTTGCCTATATTCCTTATGGATATGGGAAGTTCACTTTCATCATATGTATTTAGTGCTGGACTTTGTTTTTAATACTTTCTTTGTTCTTTCCTATTCTTTTTCTCTTCCTATATTTTGCTGCACCTGCCAAGTTTCTCTTGATATTTATGCTCACTCACATTTGGAAGTTTTATATTATATTTTTATTCTACAAGTACTACATTCTTCTTTCAGTGTCATGAATAAAATTATGTAATAATTCCCTGTATGTACAATAAGAGACTCACCATAATTTTACTTCCTCCCATTCTTAGCATTGCCCCCCGCACATGCACGCAGACATGTATGCGCTATTTTGACTTTTAGCTTTAGATTGCTATTTTTCATATTACTTAAATTTTGTTAAATGATTATTTTCACATGTGTATTATCTTAGAACCATATTAACCTAGGCATAAAACCTAAAGTTTTAATTGTTTTATTACTGATGCTTCCTCATATTAAAATATTTTGCATTTTGTAAGCTTATTTTTTTTTTCAGGATAAATAGTAAAGTTCCTGGGTCCTTGCATGACTAGGAAATACTTTTGTGTCTTTATAAATTAATGATAGATCTAGGCTACTTTTAAATTCTTGAGTAGAAATTTTTTACTTCTAAAAATTAATTGAGCATGCTCCATTGTCTTCTATTGCATACGGTTGTATGAGAGAAGTCTGGTGTCAACCGGATTTTTTTTTTTTTTCATTTTAAATGACATTTTTTACAGCATAGAAAACAACAACAAATTAGTTACTGAACTCAAAAAATTTAACATTGATAAAATACTATCATCTAACATGCAGTCTTCTAGTCAAATGTTGACAATTATTTGGATACTATCCTTTTATAGAATTTATTTTCCCTAATCTAAGTTCCAGTCAATTATACATTGCCTTTAGTTATCATGTAAGAGATTTTTTTGAAGTGGTCTGCTCTTTCTTGACATATATCTGTTTCATAGGAAAATATTTGATATGATTCTTCAGAGGGAACGCTTTCTTTATATGATTTTTCTTTGTTTTCTCATCATAAAGAGCAGTTATATAAGTATCCAGTATCAGGAATTCAGAATTTTGGTTAAGATTGTATTGGTCCTTTAAAAATTTAAACCCAGAGAAGAGGAAAGGGAAAGTTTGTTTTTTCCCTAGTTTTAATATACTCAACTGAAGTACTCTTAGCTGTAAAACTTCAAAAAATAATTGTGTCTCCCTTTCTTCAGTATTACTTTTAAGAAACAATTTTTATTTGTCATTCACAATATTTATAGAGCATTGTGTTGAATCCAGTTGAGAATAAATTCAAAGTAAATGTAAGCTGTGGTTGAATGTATAATAATCATATAGGTAAGCCAATTAGAGAGCAGTTGTGAGAAATGATAAAAGCTTATGAAAAGCTCAAAGCCTTAGGGCTGAAAAGATGGATAAGATTTGAATAATAAGGAAAATATTCCTAGTGAGAGTTTAAGACAAATACAGATCATTGAAATTTGGTTTTAGTATGACACTATGAAGCATTTTATAAAACCCATTCCTTTACTTGAATTCTACCAGTAATTACCCATGCATATATATGTGTAAATTGTTTAATTAATCCAAGGTATCAAGTATGTCCTAAAGTTGTTATTAATAGACTGGGTTTATACATATACTGTATTTTAATCAAGTCCCCTTTTCACCTGTAATGTTTTTTTGTTTTGTTCATCAGTCTGCCCAGAGATTGGTTTACATTATTATCTTCATCATTTCTCTCCTTGTTTCCTGTGTTTACTCTGTTTTTTTCTCACTTCTTTAATTAAAACATTTGATCAATTTTTAATCATTTTTCTAATTTAATAAATGCATTTGAGGCAATGCCTTTATCTTTTTTTTAAGTATTAAGCAGAGTGTTTGAAATCAAGTTAGTTAAGATATAGTTAACATAAAATAAAATCATCTTTTTAGTGTGCTGTTTTGAGTTTTGGCAAATTTACCTATACATTCAACCACCACATTAGTCAATTTATAGAACCTCCATCACCCACAAAAATTTTCTTGTGCGCTTTGTAGTCAACCCCTCTCCTTTAGTCCCTGGCAAGCAATGGTTTGTTTTTTGTCTTTATAGTTTTGCCTTTTCTAAAGTGTAGTTTATATTATTAATGATGATTAAATATAATCATACCATGTGTAGCCTTTTGATTTTGTCTTCTTTCACTTAATATAATACATTCAAGATTCATCTATATTGTTATGTAAGTCATTAACTCATTATGATCAGAGGTCTGTTCCATATAATTATGAATCTTTGACACTGAGGCTTATTTTGAGGTTTAGGATGTCATCATTTTTCATGATTGTCTCATGTATGCTTATAAATGAGATTGGAAATAGGCTTGATGCAATGAACAGCAGGCTGGAAGAAGCAGAGGAATGAATTAGTGACCTAGAAGATAAAATAATGGAAAATCATGAAGCTGAGCAAAAGAGAGAAAGAAGAATTATGCAACACAAGAATAGACTTAGGGAACTCAGTGACTCCATCAAACATAATAACATTCATATTATTGGAGTCCCAGAAAAAGAAGAGAGAGAAAAGGGGGCTGAAAATTTATTTCAAGAAAACTTTCCTAATCTGGGGAAGGAAATAGATACTCCAGATCCAGGAGGCACAGAGAACTCCTATCAAAATCAACAAAAGCAGGCCAACACCAAAACATATTGTAATTAAATTTGCAAAATAACAGTAATAAAGAAAAAATCTTAAAAACAGCAACATAAAAGAAGTCTTTAACTTAAAAGGGAAAACCCATAAGGCTAACTAGAGATTATTCAACAGAAATTGGCAAGCAAGAAAGGAGTGGAATGATATATTCAAAGTGCTGAATGGGAAAAATTTGGGCCAAGAATTCTCTATCCAGCAATGCTATAATTCAGAATACAAGAAGTAAAGAGTTTCCCAGACAAAAACTAACAGACCTTATGACCACTAAACCACCCTGCAAGAAATATTAAAGGGGACTCTTTGAGAGCAAAGGAGACTAAAAGTGATAAAGAGAAGAAGGGATCAGAGAAAATCTCCAGAAGTAATGACAAGACAAGTAATAAAATGGCAATAAATACATATCTATAATAATTACTTTAAAGGTAAATAGATTAAATGCTCCAATCAAAAGTTATAGGGTGTCAGAATGGATAAAAAAACAAGACTCATCTATATGCTGCCTACAAAAGACTCTTTTTAGATCTAAAGATACTTGCAGTTTGAAAATGAGGGGATGGAGAAACATTTATCATGCAAATGGATGTCAAAAGAAAGTCAGAGTAGTAACTTACATCGGACAAATAGACTTTAAAACAAAGACTGTTGGGGCACCTGGGTAGCTCAGTCAGTTAAGCATCTACCTCCAGCTCAGGTCGTGATCCCAGGGTCCTGGGATTGAGCCACATGTTGGGCTCCTTGTTCAGCAGGGAGTCTGATTCTTCCTCTGCCCCTCCCCCTACTTGTGCTCTCTTGCACTCCCTCTCACTCTCTCTCTCTCTGAAATGAATAAAATCTTTAAAAAATTAAATATAAATAAATAAAATAAAGGCTATAAAAAAAGACAAAGAAAGGCATTATATAACCATAAAGGGAATGATCCAACAAGAAGATATAACAATTGTACATATTTATGTACCCAGCATGGAAGCATCCAAATATATAGAACAATTAATAACAAACATAAAGGAACTAATTGATAATAACACAATAATAGTAGGGGACTTTAACATCCCACCTACAACAATGGAAAGATCATCTGAACAAAAAATCAACAAGGAAACAATGACTTTGAGTGACACACTGGACCAGATAGACTTAGCAGATATATACAGAATATTCCATCCAGGGGCACCTGGGTGGCTCAGTCAGTTAAGCATTTGACTTTGGCTCAGGGTCCTGGGATGGAGCCCCACATTGGGCTCCATGCCCAGCAGGGCGTCTGCTTCTCCCTTTCCCTCTCCTTTTGCCCCCCTCCACTCTTGCTCTCTCTGTCTCTCAAATAAATAAATGAAAATCTTTAAAAAAAATATCCCGGCCGAGCCGAGCGGCCCGGGCTGGGCACGACCCCAGCCCGCGGCGGCACAGAAAGTGGGCAGAGGCGCGGGCCATGCTGTGGCTGGCGCCCGCCGGGACCCAAACCATCGTGGACATGTCATACGCCCACCACTTCCTGGACTTCCAGGGCTCCGACATCCCCCGCGCCATGCAGAAGCTGGTGGTGACCCGGCTGAGCCCCAACTTCCGCGAGGCCATCACCCTGCGCGGGGACTGCCCGGTGCCACTCCCCGGGGACGGAGACCTCCTCGTCCGGAACCGATTTGTCGGTGTCAATGCATCTGACATCAACTATTCCGTGGGCCGATTATGACCCTTCAGTCAAGACCCCCTTTGACATAGGTTTCGAAGATGTGGGAGAGGTGGTAGCCTTAGGCCTGTCTGCCAGTGCCAGGTACGCCGTGGGCCAGGCTGTGGCCTACATGGCCCCCGGCTCCTTCGCTGATTACACAGTGCTGCCAGCCGGTGCCGCAGCTCCCGTGGCCTCTCTGCAGCCCCAGTATGTCACCCTGCCGGTAAGTGCTACCACTGCATACATCAGCCTGAAGGAGCTCGGAGGACTGTCGGAAGGGACAAAAGTTTTGGTGACGGCAGCAGCTGGGGGGACAGGCTAGTTTGCCGTGCAGCTTGCAAAGAAGGCCAGGTGCCATGTCATTGGCACCTGCTCTTCCGATGAAAAGTCTGCTTTTCTGAAATCCACTGGGTGTGATCGTCCTATCAACTATACAACCAAGCCCGTCAGCACTGTCCTGAAGCAGGAGTACCCCAAAGGTGTGGATGTGGTATATGAGTCCGTCGGGGGCACCATGTTCGACTTGGCCGTAGATGTCTTGGCTATTAAGGGGCGCTTGATAGTCATTGGATTCGTGTCTGGCTACCAAACTCCTACTGGCCTTTCTCCCATGAAAGCAGGGACATTACCAGCCAAACTGCTGAAGAAATCTGCCAGTGTCCGGGGCTTCTTCTTGAACCATTCCCTTTCTAAGTATCAAGCAACCATGGACCATTTGCTTAAGATGTATGCGGGTGGAGACCTGGTCTGCAAGGTGGACCTTGGAGACTGGTCTGCGGAGGGCAGGTTTATTGGCCTGGAGTCTGTATTCCGGGCTGTTGATTATATGTACATGGGAAAAAACACTGGAAAAATTGTAGTTGAATTATCTCGCTCTGTCAGCAGTAAGCTGTAAAAACAGAACAATGACATAAATCAAAGGAGAAAGAAAATGGGCACTTTATTCCTCAGTTAAGGAATAACTCAACTACAACTCAACTCAAATCAAGTTATTTGTAGTTGGTTAATGGGTATAATATTTCTTAAAACAAAAGTCAGGTGTTAATGAATAAGTTTCTCTTTCTTTTTTTTTTTTATTTTATTTGGGGGGATGGGGTTTGCCCCTCCCTTGAAAATAATGCTAATAAAAACTTCTCTCGATGGCTCAGAGGTAAAAAAAATAAAATAAAATAAAATAAAATAAAAAAATAAAAAAAAATTCCGTTCCAAAACAACATAATATACATTCTTTTCAAGTTCCCTAGACCACAAAACAAGTCCCAATAAATTTAAGAAGATTGAAATCCCATCAAGCATCTTTTCTGACCACAGTGGTATGAAAATAGATATCAGTTACAAGGAAAAATCTGGAAAGAACACAAATATATGAAGGCGAAACAACATGCTACAAAGCAATGAATGGGTCAACCAGGAAATCAAAAAGGAAATGAAAAAATACATGGAAACAAATGAAAATAAAAACACAGCTGTTCAAAACCTTTGGGATGCAGCAAAAGCAGTCCTAAGAAGGGAGTATATAGCAATATAGGCCTACCTCAAGAAGCAAGAAAAATCTCAAATATACAACCTAGCCTTACACCTAAAGGATCTAGAAAGAGAACAACAAATGAAGCCTAAAGCCAACAGAAGGAAGGAAATAATAAAGATTAGAGCAGAAATAAATAATATAGAAACTTAAAAAAAAAGAACAGGTCAATGAAACCAGGAACTGGTTCTTTGAAAAAATTAATAAAACTGATAAACCTCTAGCCAGACTTATCAAAAAGAAAAGAGAAAGGACCCAAATAAATAAAATCACAAATGAAAGAGAAGAAATAACAACCAATACTACAGAAATACAAACATTATAAGAGAATATTATGAAAAACTATATGCCAACAAATTGGGTAACCTGAAAGAAATGGATAAATTCCTAAACTACCCAAACTGAAACAGGAAGAAATAGAAAACTTGAACAGACCAATAAACAGCAAAGAAATTGCATCAGTAATATGTATGCTTCATAGGAATGTTCTACTTTTTGGTGCTGGCTTTTTTATATGCAACTATTAGAAAAGCTTATTAATTGCTTTGTTAAAGTCTTCTACATTCATACTCTCTTTGCGCTAGTACTTGCTTGGAATATCTTTTCCATTCTTTTTTATTTTTATACCACTGAACCACTTGTTTCTAGGTGTGTCCCATCTGAGCATAATAAAGCTGGGTTCATTTTTCTAATCCCATTTTGTTAGTATGTTTCTTTTAAGAAGCATACATTTATGCGTATTATAGTCACAGATACATTTGGACCTATTTTTACCATTTTATTTTTTCTTTCCTTTTCTCCTTTTTTTCCCTCACTTTGCTGATTTGGAAGCTACAAATTTACATTTTGATTCTTTTAATTATTACCCATAAATTTTTAATATACATAAATACTATAGTATCTTCTCATGAAATTTAAAAGCACTTAGAGTATCCTGTCCCTAAATAATCTCCACATTTTATCTGTCACCTTTCTTAACAATTTTGTTTAGAATTGTAATTCCACCTTTGTGTTTTGTTAATTTTATTTTAAAAGACACATTAGTTTGATTTCCATGCTCACAGTTATCTCTTACGTCCCATGTCTTTCCATAATGTCCAAGGTTTCTTTTGCTATAACACTTAGTTATTTCAGGTTGCCTGGGTGGCTCAGTTGGTTAAGCGTCTGCCTTTGGATCAGGTCATGATCCCAGGGTCCTGGGATCTAGCCCCACGTTGGGCTCCCTGCTCAGCGGGGAGCCTGCTTCTCCTTCTCCCCACTCATGCTCTCTCAAGCTATCTCTGTCACTCGTCTTCTCTGTCGCTATCTCTCTCTCTCAAATAAATAAATAAATAAAATCTTAAAAAAAAAGTTTGTTATTTCAACATGTCTAGTGATAAGTTAGTTTTTATAGGCCTAAAAATATCTTTATTTTGGCCTCACTACTTAATGGTAGTTTAGCTTGTTTTAAATATTTAAGTTGCAGTTATTTTTCCATCGGTACTTTGGAGATATTACTCTAATATCTTCCAGAATCTTTGGATATAGATGAGAAGTCTGCCATTTAATTATTGTTCCTTTACAAGTAATCTTTCTTTCTCTTTCTCTGTCTCTCATGGTATTGAGATTTTCTTATTAACCTTGACTTTTGTACTTGCTCTATGAAAGTTTGAGGTGTGGATTTTTCATGTATCTTTCTGTAGATTTAATGATTATGATGCTTTTTATCATAGATATCATATTGACCTTTTGTACTGAAAATATCTCAACGATTATACATTCAAACATTGCTTATCTGCCATGCCTTCTGTCTCCTATTTCTGAAATTTTTGTTTGGATATATGTTAAAGCATCTATCCCCAATGACTGTTAACTACTTTTTCCCAGTTTTCAACTCTTTCTATCTCACTATCTTATTCTTTTTTTAAAGATTTTATTTTTATTTTTTTAAAATTTTGTTTATTTATTTTAGAGAGAGAGAGAGAGCACAAGGGGGAGAGGCCAGAGGGAAAGGGAGAGAGAATCTGAGGCACACTTCTTGCTGAGGGCAGAGCCCGACACAGGGCTCAATCCCATGATGCTGAGATCACAACCTGAGCCAAAACCAAGAGTCAGACATTTAACCAAAGATGCCACCCAGGCACCCCTAAAGATTTTATTTTTAACTAATCTCTGCACCCAGCATGGGATTTGAACTCATAACCCCAAGATCAAGAGTCACAAGCTCTACTGACTGAGCCAGCCAGACGACCCTCTGACTATCTTATTCTTTGTGAATTTCTCAATCCTGTTTTACAGTTTACTATCTTTTCTACTATATCCAGTTTAGAATTTCTGGTGTTTATAGGGTTCTCTTTTCCAGTTAATATATTTTTCAAAATATATTAAATATAGTAATATTTATTAATATTAATTTAAATCTTTTTCAAAAATTTTTGATGTGTATTTTCAAATACATCTATTCTTTTCTTTTGATTTTTTCATAGTTTCTTGTTCTTTTTATAGATGCTATTCTTCTATTTCTTTTGAGAATCTTAAAGCCTTAATTTTGTTTTCTGATTGCTCTGTGTATGTATTTGTTTTGCATATTCCTTTCTTTTTTAAGTTTACATACTCTACTAATTGTTGAGGTTTTGTTTTTCTTGGCTTTAAGTTTTCCTCATGTGCTTTGAAAATTAGTTTGCAGGCTTATCTTGAGGGGAAATTTTTTTCTCTTATCTCATCTTTTTTCACTGACTCAGGGAGGTGGGGGGATGAGGGTGAGGTTGTCCTGAGTTTTAAGAGGTAGGCTGTGCTATGATGAGCGCTGTGAATTGTGTAAGACTGATGAATCACAGACCTGTACCCCTGAAACGAATAATACATTATATGTTAATAAAAAAAATAAAATAAATGGGCACTATCACACATCAAAAAAAAAGGGGGGGGTAGGCTTTGTCTTCATCCTCTGGCTCCCTGGGTTTATAAAAGCTTTAACTGAGCTTTTTTCCAACTTCTTTTTCAGAGTTGGGGGAATCACACCTCAGTGCAGATTTTATGCAGTGAGATTGGCTGAACTCTTTTGCCAGGTGGTTCTTTGTAATCTCTACTACCGTGTACTGTCAGCCACTGTGCCTCTGACTGCTACCAAACCTGGAACCTATCAAGTCTACACTGTCAGCTCACTTACTGCTTTGTGTTCTGTTACATGGGGATTTTTATTTTTAGGACACATATATCTTTTAATTTTTTTCTCTCTGTACTTTATAATACTATGTATTTGAAACAGACAAGTCTCTAAAATGTATACTCACACTGCCAACTTGACCAGAAATCCTATTGCCATAGTTTTCACATAAGAATTTGGAAATTAGGTTATAAATCTTTGTCAAACTTATTGTCTTTGATATATATAAGATTCTTTCTGTTGCCTTGTTTAATGCACAGTTGTGTGCATCCAAATAAGAATATGAACACCAATTCATATTCTAGGGATGTGACTTCTAGACTCAAGATGAATGGCTTTAAATCATGGCATTGGTATTTACTTCCTGTATGACTTAAACTTTCAAAGACTTTTGTTTCCTCATCTGTATTTATGAGTTTGGATCTACCTCGTACACATCTGTAAAGGATTAAATATGGTAATATATAAAACATTAGCGTAATATGTGACTCACAATAAGCTCTTGGTGAATGTTAGCTATTATTTGTACAATGGAGTTGCATGATATTTACATTTAATTGTAGAAATTCACCTATTCACCTATTATCATTCTCTTTTGTGAAATACATGTAATGTAATATTATATTTAGGAATATACTCTAGTGTATGTGATATATTAATTTGTACTTTGAAATTTAATATAACCAGGGTTTTTAAGCCACCCACACTATATGTTTTTTACTTGATGGGTGATTTAAATTATCTCCAAAGGTATTTTTGACTATTGGATATTTTTTCTTTACAGACCAACTTTAAGACTTAACCTTCTCAACAGATATAACTATCTTTAGTTATCTCTAAACTAGTCATGTATGTATTTATGGCAGGCATTGATAATTTTATATATATATGTGTGTATATATATATACACACACACACACACACACACATAAAACTGTGAAAATAGACAGTTGATATCAGAATCATATCTGGGTTCCAGTCTAGCCCCTGCCAATCTCTGGAGGTTGGATCTTTTTTTTTTAAGATTTTATTTATTTATTCTAGAGATAGAAAGAGAGCATGAGCGGCAGGGAAGGAGCAGAGGGAGAGGGACAATGAGATTCTGTGCTGAGCGCAGAGCTAGATGTGGGGCTGGATCCCACAACCCTGAGATCATGACCTGAGTCAGATGCTCAACCAACTGAACCACCCAGCTGCCCCTGCAGGTAGGATCTTATCCAATCGC